CCACTTCCACCTGGAATAGTACGATATCGCAATGGAGAGTCGCCATGCTGACCTCCACGTGTGAGATGAACTGGTAGTCGGCGAGTGGGGAGCACCATTGCTGCGACCCGGTTGTGGGAGAGGGGAGCACCATTGCTACGACCCAGGTGAGCGGGAGGGCGGGTGGGTGATTGCAATGCGGGGAGCACCATCGCTACGACCCGAAATACAGCAAACGGGGAGCACCATTGCTACCACCCGTGGAAGGGGGGAGAGGGGGTGGGGCGGATTAAGTCAGGCCGTACCATACCGCGAGGAATGTGCAACTTGGTGTCTTCCAATAACTCAGCCGTGTCCTTCCCTCCCAAGGTACTTGTATGATGTTATCAAAGCTCCGTCCGTGTGATTCAGCATCCGATCGCCCCGGTATGACCGACTTCGTGCGGCCGTTTGTTTCCAAGGGCGTATCGAAGACTTCATGCAGCGAGTCGTCGGTATCTCTTTTCCCTCGCTGCCGCTCAGCCTCTATACCGGGGCAGCATCATGACCACCTGAGAGTAATCAATCATGGCCTTCCTGAGAGTAAAGCATGCTGCATGTAAATGTACGGCACTTTCGCCCTAGTGCAACTGGATGGGGGAAAGGGGGGTGCTCGTCGAGTCGCCAACGACTCTTAGTGCCGCCCCGGGGGTCCACACCCTTTCCAGCACCAGCCCACCCAGCAAAGACAAGCACTAGGCCCCGGGGTTAGGGTTTGGGGAAGCTTTCGAATGCGTGGGGGAGAGAGAGAGAGAGAGAGAGAGAGAGAGAGAGAGAGAGAGAGAGAGAGAGAGAGAGAGAGAGAGAGAGAGAGAGAGAGAGAGAGAGAGAGAGAGAGAGAGAGAAGAGAGAGAGAGAGAGAGAGAGAGAGAGAGAGAGAGAGGGAGAGGGAGAGGGAGAGGGGAGCAATGTAGACCCATCATGAATAAACTCCCTTGCCCCAAAAGGATTGAAAAAGTAGTTGCCTTGAACCCCGATATCTTCGCACCTCATGAGCGGTCCGGGGGGAGGGGCGGGGTGTTTAGGGTGCGATATCCAAACATTCCTAACATCTAGCTCGAAATGCCCAGACAGGTCTTTCCTATGCGCACTTCTACCATTTTTCCATGCCTGCCACGGGAGCCACCCTGGCACAGTACTTGGTCATCAGTTGAAGGCGTTTCACGGGCGGTTTAAGCTTTAGGGTGTTTTGGATGGCTTTTGGGGTCTAGGGTTTCTGGTTCAACGGTTCGAGGTCTGGGTCTGCTGTCTTGTCTGGGTTTCCCTTAGGAATCATTTTCCGGTTTCATGCAAGCTGTCCTTGGGCAGCAAGGTGCAAGCTTGAACCATTGAACCCTGCTGCAGACCCCTGATTATGAAACCCACCGTAACTGAATCGCCATCATAATAGGGTTCTTAAAATAGCGCCCTAGTACAGACGTCTGAATGCTTGCGAATATTATTCCTTAGGCCTCCTTGCTTTGTACTTATACTATACTGCATGTAAATCAAAATGCATATCAAACCCTTTCTACGTATCAAGGCTCCTATATTAACTTAGTGTTCATGGTCTAGGGTCGGATTTGTTTCAGGGGTCCCATCATAACCCTAAACCCTAAACCCTAAACCGCAAACCTGTCCAAAAACCCTGAAGCCTTGAGCCGACGAAGCCTGACACCTTGAGCACGGAATGTAGTTAAGGGTTTAACAACCCTGAACGATGGAATCCTAGATCCCAAAACTGCCCAGAGACTCCAATTCCCCTTAATTAAGGGATATACCTTACATCATATAGGGGATCCTATCATAATCTAAGGTATATATTCCTTAATTAAGGGATATTGGAGCCTCTGGGTGGTACCAAGGCTTCAGTTCACGCAGCCCGCCGCGTTATCCGGGAGTCAGGAAGTAATTATCTTTGAGTCAGAAGAAGAAGTCCTTCATTAGTGTAAAAAGACTACATGCATGGGCTGGCCAACGCTGTCTTGGATAGAGTGACAAGCTCCCAAACTTCATGTGATAGAAATCTGCATAAATAGCAGAAGCCCACCCTCCAAATCGTGTGTGTATATACGTATATGTATTTATTATTTATTATTCTAATCATTTTTTGTTTATTTGCATATTTGTTTAAGTCTTCATGTATGTACAAATTTGTTGATGCCGCGAGATCCCCCCTCCGACCCCTAATATACTAATATACATGTTCGGGCCGTTTTTTTGTGAGAACGAACTGAGGGCTCTTTGAGTCCTTGGCCCAGGCTCCCCTCTTGGGCACAGCAGACCCTCCTGCAGCATGAGGGAGACCAGCGGAAGGCGCCCCGGTGACAATTGAGGGTTTAGGAGTTTAGGGTTTTGGGTTTAGGGGTTTAGGGTTAGGGCTTCGAATGCCTGGGAGAGAGAGAGCGAGAGAGAGAGAGAGAGAGAGAGAGAGAGAGAGAGAGGGTTTAGGGCTTAGTCCTTGCATGCAAGCCTGCAGAAAAGGAGCTTTATGTAGGGGCCGGAAGAGTTTCAAGCAGCACTCCCTCCGGTGCGGAAGGTACTGAGTGCCCTCGCATTCGTAATCAAGCGGAAAAACTGAATGCCTAGAATGCCTGAAGCATCAACCGCACACTCTCCCTCTCTCGCTCGCCGTCTCTCGTTGCGCTACCTGAAGCACTTAATTCCGAGACATAGAAGTACAAGCGAGGTCATCCCAGTGCACCAGCTTCGAGCAGCGCGGTCGGGCAATGCTGCCTGGGATGGCATGCAGCAGTATCTTGTGGACACAGGCGGCGCATTTAGTCTTTTTTTTTGGTGTTATGGCCTTTAAGCCCCGAGGCCTAATGTGGGGTTTCGCAGGGATATACTAAAGAAATCCAAGAACCCACATCGTGATTGTTGTATTGCGTTGACGCTCTCCGGGTGTGGACCCTGAGATGTAGTGCCATAACCCTGAAGCTTCGTAGTAGGTTACTATTGTTCAGCGGTTTAGTGACGTACAGTTTAGTGGTTCTGAGTTTAGGAATTCAGCTGTTTAGTGTTTAGTGGTTCTGAGTTTAAGAATTTAGGGTTTCTAGGAGTTCAGCAAACCAAGCCTTGCAAGTTTGGGCTTACCACACGTAGATCGCAGAAAAAGAGGAGACAGAAGCACCCAACCTAAACCCAAAAGAAAGGCCCCGCGCCGTAAAGCAAAACTCAGATCACCCAGGTCCTGCATCCCGCATTTGGTAGGACCTTTGCCCAATACTTCCGACAGATGCGTCGGGCTCAGGAAGTTGGTTAGAAGACTTGTTTACCATGTCTTCGGGCAGAGCTGCTAGAGGGTTTAGGATTTAGGTCCGATGTTTTGAAGGGTGGTTGAGATTGAGATCACTGGTTCGAGTTTACAGGGTTTAAAGATCAAAAGACCAAGGCACACCATTCCTTAAGGCTTAATTATCAGGTTTGCTAGTGCTTGTTGTAAGACCACTTGTGTAGTACAGAAGCCCGAGAAGCCCCAGTCTAACTGTGCAGGCTTCTGTTAAGGCAGTGAACCACCGAGATGAATTTTGAAGCAGTCATGTATACCGACGACGCAGGCGAACTGCATAACAATGCCCGGATGGGCTGGGGCAAGGCTGTTCTCAAATGGACCGTGGCTCGGCATGCAGCCATCATGGATCGAATTTGGGTTTCGCTTCAGTACGCTTGAAGCATGAAGGATGATTCATCCATTTCCGTTCTTATCAGTTCCAACCAAAGAATGATAATCACCGTAAACCCTAAACTCAGTCCCTAAACTTTAAGTCTAAAACCCTAAACTCTAAACTCAGTCCCTAAACTCTAAGTCTAAAACCTGGAACCCCAAACCCTACATCGACAGGACAGTCCACAGGCAGCGATAGATGTCCTCATCGAGCTCAACAATGTCTTCGCCCTGGATGGTGCCAGCCTCTGGGTCGAGGGGTTTTGTCGTGCCAGGGTTTTCGGAATGTTTCGATAGGGTTCTCAATCTCAATAACGGTCACTGTCAGGGTTTAACGGTTTAGGGCTTTAGGGTTTTAGAGTTTAGGTTTTAGGGCGCTTCGCTGCCGGCATACACTCCAAGTCCGTGCTCAAAAAAAAGGGCTTTAGGCGGCTTGGAATGCCTTAGGTTCCAAGATTCTCGGGTTTCAGGATTATAAGGCTTCAGCTTTAATATGTTGAGGGTTTTGGGATCTGGGGTTTCGGGTTCTTGATTGCGGATGCGGGCGCCTTGGTTTGGACAAACCCGGCATGAGATTCCGATGCGCGGACTCTTGCGAAACATTGCAAGCAATCGCGATTAGCCTGTTCGAGGGGTATCATTCATGAGCTAGCAGATGCATCAGGCAACGCATGCGAAAATATCCCATGCCTACAGCATAGTCTCGTGTACGGCAGGTGGCTACACATGCTTTCACAGCGTGCATTCTGGACTCACTCGCTCAGACTCAGTCTGTCATTGTACCCACTTCAGTATCCTTCATTCATTGCTGACCTGCTTGCCGACCTGCTCACTTGCTCCTTGCCCAAACACTTTCCCTAGGGATCAGAATGGTTCAAAAGCCTTATATAGTATGGTCTTTGGACCCAAAAGCCTTAATACATGAGTCCTTAGACCTCTAGGGTTTCGTACCTACTGACTCACTTACGTACTTGCTTGCTCGGCTTGCTCACTCACCCGCCCACCTACACACCCACCTGCCCACCGACTCACTCGCTTGCTCACGTGCTTTCTTACTTCCTCATTTCCATGCTGACATGCGAATGTGTAAACTCTACAAACATAAATACAGCCAGACAGACAGATATGTGAATCTCAGGGCGTACATGCACGCACGGGCACGAAACGGACCAACTGCATGTTTTTTTTGCACTAGATGTCATATTATGCAGTATGTCTCCGATCTGCTGGTCTGCTTGTAGTTTAGCACATGATGCTCGGTCAATTGGTGAATGACTGCGCACTACTGCATGAGTCATCACCCCGAGTGGATCAACATTCCACGGCACTTCACTTCTTGTTTGAGGCTTGTGCAGCTTGCACAATGGACTGCGACATAGCTGCCAACGTGTTTCCGAACCGAGCTGAAGCCATGTCTGCCGGTTCCCAAGCACGAGAGAATACCACCCATCATACAAACCTAAACCCGGAAAACGCCCAGCATCCTGCCCCCCACCCCACCACCCAAATTTCTCATCCCATGGATCGAGAACCATAAATTCTCCCCAACGAACGTGGCGCAAGAAGCTTTTGTTTCCATCCATGGGGAGGTCATGCACCCCCTTCCTACGGCGGACTGCTAGGCTGCCTTGGCCTCTTTGATACTGGGCCTAGAAGCCTTTCAGTAGACTTTTTGGTTTCAGGGATGGTTCTGGTGCTTCAGGGTGCATCGGGTTGGGGATTCGGCCCTCAAAAGCACCCCAAATGGAAGCAGCCTAAAACTTACGTCGTAAGTGCAGAGTCTTATGGTCCCAACTGAAGAAAATCGATGAAGTCGACGTAGGCAAGGCATGTCCTTGTTTGGACACGGCAGGCTTCAGTTGTTTGTATTTATGTGCTTCTTCTGACATCCCCCTAGAGGATTCTATATTGCTTTCAAGAGTTTCAGGGGCTCTAAACAAGTCTAAGGTGCCCCTGATGGGGATCACTATATCTTGCCTTACGCCCCAAGCTGACAACCCTATGTAAAAGGAAGCCCAAACCCGACTATCTGAAAACATTTGGGTCTCCGGCCACCTGAGTTTGCAGTGGCCTCTGCTTGGGGCCCAGACAGGCAAGAACAGATGAACTATCGAAGGCAGCCCCGCTGTAGGGATGTTCGCTTCGAAGGTTTATGTTTAGGTGTTTGTTTGTTGCCAAGGAAGGCCCGAAGCAAGAATCAGCAGTTGTGGGCAAAGCTCCTTGGGCCTGAACTTAGGGTTTAGGGTTTAGGGCATCGTATGAGTTTTGTGGGCGCTGGCCGGCACCTCAGTCCGTGCTGAATAAAGGGCATGGTATGAGGATTGTTTCATGAGCCCAAACTTCAGCCAGACAAACCTATACCACCCCTAAGCCCTCAATGGGGGTCCATTGTTGTTTACCTTTGACATTGGAGTTTAGTAATCCCTGTAGAATAGATCCGACTGTCAACCTGCGAAAACGCAGGTGTAGGACGGGTAAGACCTGTAACACTAAACTCAAGACCTTACTATAGGGGTCGGAGTAAATAGTGTTTCTACTCTCCAAATCCTGATCTCGTTTTAGGGGTTAGGGTCTGTTATCTATGACCCCCGCCAAGACTCCAGGTTATTCCAGATACCTTGAGTTCTAAAGCACTAAACCCCATCGGTTTCTGGACCCTACACCCCAATCATCTTGCACCTGGACCCCCAAACCCCGGCTCCTACCCAACCGAAACAGACACACCAAACAAATGGGTAGTTGTCAAAAGTAGGGCTCCTTTATGGATAATTACCCTAAATATTAGGTGCCGTACTACATTAGGGACCCGAAACGGGACCATAATTTTGACAACCTTATAGGAGCCCTATAGATCCCTTTAAAGGAACCCTTAAAGGGACCCTTATAGGAGCCCTATGGATCCCTTTAATTTTCACAACCACCCAGAAATCCTAAGCACAGGTCTCCTACAAACCGCCGAAGTCGAAATACGCTGCCATGCCTGAAGTGGCAAGGCGGGAGTTCGGGGCTTGTTAGGTCTGCTAGTTTTTAGGGCATAGTGTTTTGGGGTTTAGGGCTTTTAAGGTTTAGAGTTTAGAGCTTTGGGGTTTGAGATTTAGGGTTTAGGGTTTTTGGGCAATATGGTTGTGAGATTCGGTCGCTAGAACTTATAGTAACATCCATCTTCACATGCTTTTCGTGTAAGGTTCTACAGGGTTGTACGGATCTGTTTGGGGTTTAGGGTTGGTTTCAAGGCTTGGGTGCTTAGAGTTTGGGATTAGGGTTGGCTACGCCGCCCGGATCCGCACCGAGCGACGCCCCATCTGAAGAAGTTTGGGGTGGAGGGAACACGCCGAGAAGGCCCATTTGGCGGAATGAAGCACGCACAGGAAGTCGTCTGGAAGCATCGACATGAATCCACGGCATTCGATGCAGCTTTCCTGCCTGTACCAGAATCGGCACCGAAATTTTGGGAAGAGGCCGCAAGGTTTTTCGAAGGCATCAGCCCCGTTGCCCAGGCCTAGTTACGGCAAGCTCCTGTCTGCATTTCGCCGAGCTTTGGAGCTCACCAAACCGCTAAGCCCCGAAACCCTTAAAAGCCAACACTCCTCCAACATAAAGGCCCCAAACACCCAAGTCCTCCCTAGGACTTGAGATTCTTAGGAAACGTTCGGAAAATCAGTTATAGAATCCCCGTGTAGTCCCTGCTATATCTACTCTAAAGAAACCCCAAAGCCCAGTTTCAATTATTCCCTGATATTCCTGAACCTGTAGTGAACATATTGTAAGCGTTCCGCAGGGAGCTGCTGAAGTGCGACGTCCAGGTGGGCGGCATCGCACGGTACTTCGCCGCTTGACTAAGCAAGAGGATGCCCCAGTCGGTGTCAGGGGGTCCTTGAACTAACGGTTCTATAAAGGTGTCCTATTACGGCTCCACCACTTCCTGTAGCCCAACCGTTAGAGGGTTCCTTTCAGTAATGGTACTCTCAGAGCGATCCTGTAAGGCTCCCCCACTTCCTATAACCTCACCTTCAGGTGGTTCCTTGAATTCATGGTTCTATAAAGGTGGTTCCTTTAGTTCATGGCTCTATAAAGGGGTCTTGCAAGGGCTCCACCACTTCCATGATCTTACCCAGGTCCGAACCGGTCCGACACAAAACATGGCCGCCACTGGATTGATGGAGGACTTTAGGTGCAAAGCTCTCCGCCCCCGAGATGTGAGTTGAGATGACCGGAGGGGTGGCGGAGTGGAGGGGGATCCCAGAACTCAGGATCTTGTCTTGAGTGCGTCTATACTAGCTTATACTAGCCAGAACGGCTACGGGGCTTCGGTGGAAAGCAATGCGGTGATTGGTCTTTGGACAGGCCCTGACACCGAGGGATGCTGAAAAAAACAGCGACTTCTCTTTTGTCGCCACCCACCGTTGAAGTTGATTCCGCCCACACCCCATCCCTGACATCGCCCCCTAAACTTCTCAAGAGTTTTGAGGGGGAGACCCAGGCATGCCTCAGACGGCCCCTGAAACCTGATTTCGAAACTTAAGCCCTCGATCCGAAACCGTTTTTGCCAGAACCCTAAATTGTCAACCCGAACACCCTAGCTCTCAACCCCAAACTACAACCCTAAAGATAGTTAAATCACGGTGTTGATTCAAGCTTCGGGCTAGAGCCCTCACCCAGCGCCCCTTGTTTACGGAATATATGCCATAGGCCGTAAGCCATTTAGGGCGCATGATTCCTTATGTCATGCCCGAAAACCTAGTCCCTAAACCCGAACCCTAAACCCTCAACCCTAAACCCTAAGCCCTAAACCCTAAGTGGCAACTCCTGTCGTGGTGGTTTCCTGAAGACCCCCGCTGGGCACTGCACCGCTCGGTCGATGATGCTGCATGCACGCACAGAGGTCTGGAGCTGTGTTTTTCACATGCCCGGATAAGAATTCAAGCATGGTGCGTGTGTCGAACCCGACGGTGAATTGAATGCATGCCTGCTCGTTAATTTGCGAATTTGAATTTGTGTGCCACGAATTTAGGAATGATCTACGACCGACCACTGCACTTGACACGAGAACGAGCTGCATGCTAAAGAGGTTTGTCCATGCGGACCGAGTGCGCACGTGTGTCAACCTCCGAACAGCCCACCCCTTGCCACCCAGCCCAGCCCCGTCGTTCTGTTCAAGCCTAGCCCAAGCGTTTTGTGCAATGTGTTGACGCCCCTCCCGTTACATCCTAATCAAGCACCTCTCCGCTTGTTCCCTGATTCACAGCCAAAGCGTCACGTTGTGTCTGAGTCGGCCCTTGTTGATGTCCCCCTCCCCGGCCTACCCTTCCCTACTTAGGATCCGTCCTCTTACTAACACGCCCCTGGACAGGCCTTTCATGCTCCGCATGCACCACAAGACTGACGAGGGCACTGGCAGGGCGGAGACCGGGACCGAATCACACGCTACGGTTTCCATAGCTCACAGAACAAGGCCTCTGACTCGGCCTCGCTGTCACCGCGTCCGTTCGTCTGGTAACTAGTCACTAGCCACTCTTCCCTCCCTAGTCGGGGTCTAGGTAACCCTAACCCTCGCTCGTGCTGAATGATGGGACATGCTGCGTCTGCCACACTGCGGCCTGGTGACTGTCACGACTCAGGGCTCCGAGATTGTGATGGAGGGCCAGAGATATTGGATGTGACTGACACGCATTTGTGGTCCACTGGCTCACTACAATACGCTGACCTGGACCTGTATAGCTGCGTGAAGCCGCTGTATGCTTTCTGGCATCCTGTTCTGATATCTGCATGCAATGGAGTTGGATTTTGCTGAATGTGGCATTGACTTCGGACAGACACAATCAACCACAGGTAGTGGCAGACATCGGTCATGACCGTCTACCAACATCTGCATGGGTTGGAGAATACGTTTGCAAGACTGCATTTATTGAATGTATAGCCTGCTTCGGCCTTCCATGCCTCTGCATGGTTTTTGGGCAAAGCGCCATTCGTTGTGGGAATCTGTTGGCTTGGTGACATCTGGCATGGACTTTTTGCTACGACTGACATGAGGCTGTGGTCCACTGGCTCACTACAATGCACTGCCATGGGAATGCGTAGCTACGCGAAGCTGCGGTGTGCTGCTGCCCCTTTGGCTATGCATGAGTTGGAGAACATGTTTGCAAGACGAGACTGAATTTGTTGCATGCTCCTGCATGGCTTTGGCAAGACAAGACTGAATTTGCTGCATGCCCCGCATGGTTTCTGGCAAGAATATCATTCCCAGTGGGAATCCGTTTGCTTGGTGACATCTGACATGGACGTATAGCTGCACGGGGACCGTTTGCAAGATGAGACTGAATTTGCTGCATGCTCCTGCATGGCTTTTGGCAAGACAAGACTGAATTTGCGGCATGCCCCGCATGGTTTTGGCAAGAATATCATTCCCAGTGGGAATCCGTTTGCTCGGTGACATCTGACATGGACGTATAGCTGCACGGGGACCGCGTCGGAACAACCAACTGGCCCTGGATATGCGAGCATATGTGTGGGCATCATTGCCCCCATGTTAAGCTGCCACGTACGCATGAGGACACTACGAGACCAGATGTGATGCTGACAATCCTACGGCCTTCGGTCGTTATGTCGTGTGCAGTGTGAACTCAGGATGCGGGTTTGACTAGTGGCTTGGAGTGTTAATGTTTTCGGCTGCCGCCACACGTGCGCTGGCTTGGGGCCATATGTGCCTGATGCGGACTCGTGAACCTCGCCTAGGCTTGTCCGAGTGTGAGTGCTGAAACCCTAGCCCTAAACCCTAAACCCTAAACCGCGAAGTCCCAAAGGAACCTCCTACGGCAGATCGCTCTGTCGGGGAAGCGGCCCCGAAGCGGAGGTGGACGCGACTCTTGGCTGCCAAGGCCTGGTAGGGTTGGGTTTAGGGTTTAGGGTTTAGGGTGCAAAGTTTTGATATGTACATTTACAGTTGTTTACAGCAGCCCTAGACCCCGAAAGCCCTAATTAAACCCCAACACCCAGTCAAGCAATGCAGGGTGCAAAGCCGTCCAAACCTGAAGCCCTAAACCGCTCAAGGTTTCTGAGTGTCTGGGTTGTCTCCGGAGTTTCCGCACCTCTGCAGCACGGGCGGTACTGAGAGGTTTTAGACAACAGATCCCAAGTCCCTAAACTTAAACCTTAAACCCTGAACCCTAAATCCCTAACCCCTAAACCCCCCTAAACTCCAAACCCCTAAACTCCTAAACACCAAAGGTATGTCCGAGAGTGAGTGCTGAAACCCCTAAACCCCAAACCCGAGGAAAATTGGTGTCGGAAGTGGAAGCTCCTCTCATCGAAATCGACTGACGGATCCTGCAGTGAGATAGCTGTAGAAGCAGGATTTGGGCATGGGGTTTAGGATTTGGGTTTGGAGTTTAGGGTCTAGGGTTTTGCAGTGCGATAGCCAAAGGTACAACAAGAATTTAGGAGTCAGCATCTAGGGATCGCAGTGTAGGCGTAGGGCAGGTTCGCATATCGACTCAAAAAGGTAGGTTGGCGTGTGAATGTAGTTAACATGATGTGGAGGTATGCTCGTGCGAGCGTTGGGGTAGAGCAGGGCTGTGGGTTTAGGGTCTCCAGTTTCAAAGCCTGGGAGCGTTGAACTTTTAATGAGCCTCGGAATCTTCAGTCAGCTTTACACAGGCTGGCTTCCGTGGTACCTCCCCAGCTCAGGGCATTCCTAATTCAAACCTAGCCGTTAACCTGGCTTGCAAGCTGCGCCGTTTTGGCGTCAATTTTCAGTGCGCCCGTTAAGGGCAGCCCTCTGCGAAATGCCATGGAGGCACCCGAATCTCTAGGCCTAGAACATGGAACCCGGAACTTGTATAGAAATGGCATTCCTGAGCAGGGCTCCCTAGTGTAAACGATTACGCCAGATGCTTGCAACCCCTTTCTAAACTTGAGCCCTGAATGACTGTAATCTGGAATTGCAGCATCCAGGAATCCGGAGATGGCAGTTTTGGAAAGGAGTGACCCTGTAACACTACAGGGGTTTGAATAATTTGCAATACTATTTTGGTGGTTCCTAATAACCCGAACCCTAAACCCCACCCAGGACCCCTAAACTGGAAGCTCTGGGCAAACCCCAGCCCTCCATGGCGATCCCAGTTTTCGGTCTGCAGCGCTCTCCCTCCTTGAGACCCCAATATCCCTTAATTAAGGAGTAGTCCTTAAATCATATTAGGGATCCTACCATAACTTAAGGTATATTCCTTAATTAAGGGATCTTGGAGTCTCTGGGCCCAGGGTTGAGACCCCAATACAAAAAAAAGGATGCTCGAAGGAATGAGCCCGGAATGCTACTCAGCTTTTAGGGCTTCGGGACTAGAGTCGAGGTTGTTCGGGTTGTCTAGGGTGCCCGGTAGGTACCCTTATTCCCCTTTTTGGAGTCCTAGGTTCCTTTTTTTGTTACCCAAGACCAAAAAGGGAGCCCCTTTTTGATTCCTAGGTTACTGGGCATCCTAGTTGCTTATATGTTTTTCCTCGCAGACTTATCCGGGTTTCATGGGTCGGGGGGTTCTTCAAAGCTCGGGGTTCCTGATTCAGGGGTCCTTGTAACCTAGGATCCTCATAGCTGGGCTTTTTGTTTGGGTCAACTCCGCCATGGATTCTTGTAGAAAGGGCAGTGCCAGATTGCCCCCGAAGCCCATCACCCCCTTTCCCTAGGCATCTAAGGACCCATATGGGTAGTTGTCGAAATTATTGTCCCTTTCTGGGTACCCTAAATATTAAGTGTGGTACTAAAATAAAGACCCAAAAAGGGACCATAATTTTCACAACCACCCATATATTAAGGCTTTTTGGCAGAAAGACCATACTATATAAG